TGTTTCTGTGAGACCCTGCATAAGGCATGATACATTCAGTTTGCACAAGACAAATTAGGCTGTTGACTGCCAGCAATCACCAGTGGGTTTTCAGTTTGGTAGTTCATAATTTCTGTCAGGAAATTATTTGAAGTTGGTTGCCTGTTGTTGCAGAAGGCTCAACCAGAACAGGATCTCCACCAAACATATTTCAATTTGAAATCCTAACACCTTTGTCACTTTTTCTTGAAGTGTTAGACACATCTAGGGGAGAGCTATGAAGAAAAATATTTGAATTGCTAGTTGTCCTTTCTATGAATGAGTAAAGAACAGACCTCCCTACTTAAAGATACAGACAACATTTGAGACACTCAGGTCCATCCCAGCATCCTGTTTTGGTCATCGCTGCTTTCTTTCCCCTACTCCAAGCCTCCTGACCTCCACTTGCTCTTCTCTAATCCTGCTCAGCCAAAATGCCAGATCACCAGAAACTGTGAGTTCTCATAGCAAACTTCATCCACCCACCCCCGCTTCATCCTAAATACAACTGAATAATTATTTTGCTGATACTTTAAGTTTTATATGGTTTCTCATCAGCATTATCAAATTAGTGTCCTCCTTTATGCTGCAGTGCAAATACATCCATCTGGTCATTTCTGGCATCAGCCCACCAACTACACCATAGCAAACAGATGCTGGAATTAAAAGAAAGGTGATGAAGTAGGACTATACGCAAAGGCAGTATTCGACACAGTAGTCTCCTACCAAGATACCCAGTGAAGTATATAATTTGTCGCATTCACTATCGATTTACACATTCCTACTGTTTTATATTAACCTTGTCCATCTTAGGACTTGTGTTGCCTAGTTTCTTTCATTATTTCAAAGGGATTTTGAAAAGCCTACTAACATATGATGACTTCCTTTTATTTATTTCTGCTGATATGCAGAGAAACATTATACTGAATTTAGGAGACACTAATTCCCTTTGCACTTGCTGGTTATTTTTTGCAGAGCCAAGAAGCACTATATCCCATGCCATTTGCGTTTTTACTACATTTTTGCATACTGTCAAAGTTTCCTTTTACTACGAGTCACTCCTGAGTTTTTCCTGTTAAGATTTCTAGATTGTTACACCATGATTTTACAAATTTTGATTACTAAAGAAAACTTAAAAGGGCTAGTAAAAACATTCTATAGCACCCATTAATTCTACCAGATCTCCCTCAAACTCACCTGCTATTTATATCTGAGCTGCTATTTATGTCTTTTTCCTTTCTATTGTATCCCTAACAGAACTTCTTATCCCATTGGCTTCTTTTCCATTGTTTGTCTTCCTTCTCTTGGCTCAGTAAACCTAAATAAGTTTTCTTTTATACAAAGTCACATAATGATTTTTATCACCACTAGTTGGAAAGTAGATGCAAGAGCTAAGGCCAACACCAGCCTGAAAAGTCAGAGTACAGCCTTGAGAGATTAAATGTTATTTCTTCTGCTGGGATTGAAAATGATAAACAAGTAAATCCAAGATGCCAGTGCCTAGAATGGCATCAGACGTATTTTTTAAAAATACTGAGCAGCTTAACTGTATGATGCCCTCAGCAAAGACTGCCACAGGTAGAACAATTTATTTTGCTAAACTTTAACAAGAGTTCCTTCTGTTATGACACAAATGTGGAGCTTTTCAGTCTGTATTATCGGTTGCAGCTCCCCCTCTATTCCTTCTCTCTCAACCACTTATATCTGCTCTTTGTACATGCCCATTTATGCAATGAGATACCATCTTCATCACCAGCAGTAGAGGAAAAATACAACCCCTTTTTTTTTTTTTTATACAATACATCCACAAATCTACCAGGGTCTCAGTTTCAGGAACAGGAGAAGATAGCCTTCAAGTCCAAAGAGTTTCAAGAGCTACATTAGACCTGTAAGAAAACTACAAGGTAGAGAACAAATCTTCACAGAACCATGAGAATCCTTACAGTTGGAAAAGACTTAAGATCAAGTCCACTCACGGACTTGATCATGTTGTCTTCTGAAATTTTTTAGCTCTAGGCTAGGTTTTTGCAGAATTAGCATTAGAGCCAAAGAGAAACCAAGGCAGGCTAGGATTTCTCTACTCTTATTTAATGGCACTGCATTTCTAGGCGTCATAAAGTGAAGTGTGCGCAGACAGCAGGCAGATGGTATTCTAAATCACAGCCTATCACTCAAGCATGGATCACTTCAGGTAAAACTCATTCCCACTACTAATAAATTCCAGTGCCAGCCAACCAGGACAAAGAACTTTAAAAGGCTGCTAGGATTTTGATATTTTTTTTCTTCCCCCCAAAGCTTTAGAGAATCTGTCACCAAGACAAAGCTGCAGCTTAAATCAACTAGTATAATCATTAGCTACAATCCTTAATGATGGAGGGAGCCTAAGAAAATCTCAGGATTTTCTAAGATGTTGCCCAAGTTAATCTTTTTTGTTAAATTTGAAAATATAAAAGAAATTCGAAACAAATAACATAGCCTCCTCTGGAAAGCCTTTTGTAAAAAAAAAAAACAAAAAAAACCCCAAAACATTTAACAAGTCTGAAACAGTCAGCATTTTAAGAAAATTCTACAACACGTATCCAGCATAGCTTTACCACACAAACCACGACTTTCGTTTAAGTACAACAAGGTACCTTTGAGGAAAGACTTCTCTCATATAAATAAAAAAGTCTGCTTTACATTACCTAAACAATTCAGTTCCTTGAATTATGTGATTTAATTTCAAAGTTTTCTTTGACATCTGAGGTTGGCTTAACTTTAAGCAAAAACATGGGTCAGGATCTTTAAGATCCCTTTCAACCTAAATTATTCCAGGTTTTATGTTTAGGTGTTTTGCAAGCATTAATAAGCTGAAATCTTATAGTAGATCTTATCATTAGTCTCAATATTTAAACTGAATTAATAAAAATGAAAAACAAGATTAAAACCAGTCATTTTCTAAAACGCAAAGATCCAATATTTTCCTGTATGTTGTCTATCTATGGTAGCTCATGCTACAACAGCTCTTGGTTTTCATGGTGCTGAGGAAAGCGTTTCCTTATACATCATTAAAAACACTTATTGAATAGTCACATCTTGATTAAACTGCGCATTTAAGTTTTCCCAATCAAAAAAACCCAACCCACTCATTAAGCAGGAGAAAAAGCAAAAATTAAAAACTCGAGTTTCACTTATCTAAATCCAGTCTTACTCAAATACTTCCAAATTCTTTTACCAAATGCTTTTAATCCAAATTCCATCAAAAAATTAATGCACATTGCAAGTCCTTACAGCAGCTTTAAAATGCATCAGGCAACATAGTTGCATGTTTAATTACAATAACATTTAAATTATTCTGAAGAGTCTAATTTAAACATTCTTTCATCACTTCTAGAAGCCACCTGGGAAAGAATTTGAACACTTCAAATGGGTTTCTCCTCTTAGTATATGGCACTACAACTATTTTTCAAAATTACTTTTGCCTGCTTGTTTAATTGTGCAGCAATAAGAATTTGAAACTGCTATTACACATCTACAGAAGGTTTTTTTGTGTAAAATGTTATCTTTACACACACACACATATATATAAATAACATGTACCTGCCCTTGGTCTTTAGCTGCCAAGTATGTTTCCTTTAACTTGCAGATAACTAAAATATATTTTGCAGCATCTTGTAAGGTTGTATATGAAAGTGAATGACAATATATCATAGACTAATGGACAGCTCAATATATGCAAACTACAAGTCTGAGACTTTTCCCAGAAACTCTATCATCCAGTGACACTTGCCCACAATTCTCATAATCTTAAAATCTCTGATACATAACATTTTAACAATTAATGCCGTCACCTGGGAAAAGAGATTGTGACAGGGTAATTATGGATTCTTATATAATCTCGCTTAACACAGATAAAGCAGTAGTTTTAAATATTGAAAGATGTAACACTCCAATACTCCTTAATCTGCTTTATTTTTTCCACAGCACAGCCACAATCTTATGAACTACCACATATCCTGCTACTCAATGCTTGCAAAGTATTTTCAAGCATATTCACTGGAAGTACCAAAAAAGAGAGATTCCAAATTTGTCTGTCCAGGTGCCCAGAACACTGATGCCAGCTGCAGAGAGTGTGTGCGATGTGCTTAATCATAAAAGGATAACACCTTAGAAGAAAGTTACTGCAACACCAGATTGTTGCCTAGGAAATCAAATTAAGTCCCTTATCAGGCATTATACTTCAACACAAAGACCACCAACATGCCACAGAATACTGGAAAGCATCTGTCCTACGACTATTGTATTGATTTTGCCCAAATCTAATTTACAGTATATAAGCAGGCTGTAAAGATGGAAATAATAAGAAAGCATTTGTGGGGTTTTATACTTCTTAGCAAAAAGGCTGTGATGCTTACAGGGGAGAAGAGTCACATCAGTTATTTTTCTCTGCACTTAAAAGAAACCTATGACTATCACAACTGAACAGGAAATTAAACGGAGGTGAAGAGGGAGAGAATGTTCTGCCACATTATAGCTGGGTAATACACTATCACACTTCCATTATTTACTGAGTTGTCAATCATGTTTAAAACTACCTCAGGATCACCAAAATGTAATGCTCTTTAAGACAAAAATACATTTAAGACATTTAGGATTCCAAGTATTTTATAAGAAAACACAGCTACAAAAGTGAAACTTCACATAGAAAATAGGATTCAAAATAGGATTTCAAAAAAGGCAACAGAGTAGGTACATTTCACACACTCATCTTCCTTCCCTATACTCATGGTGCAATCCTGATCTTCAGCAAGATCCCAAGTACTACAACAACTTACTGCAATAAACAACAAGTTAACTATATTTTTAATATTTCAAAGTAATAATTAAATTGCTTTAAAAAGTTCTATTATGCTTGTCTTTAATATACTCGCACTTCTTTGACCAAAACAGATGGAAGTAAATGCCTACCGTATAAAATACTATTAAAGATTGCCTGTGGCGCTACAAGAACCTCATTGCTTAGTTCAAGTGTTTCACTTCCAAATTTCCCACCAATTTCAGACTTGACACCATGGTCTTTATTTTCTCCTCATACTACCTGTACAAATTGCAAATTTGTAGTCCACAATTAACCACCTTATTAATTATGGTCACATCAAAGAATGACCTCACTGGACATAATCAAGATATAAGAAAGAAAATCCTTAAAGTGCAGTTTGCATGGAATAGTTGATTCTTCTCAAATGCATAACTATGGAAACTTGAAGACTTGAAGAAAGAGATACCACCCTGGCCACTAGACTCTAAAAACACAATCACTGAACAGCAAACAGGTTGTCACAGTAGACACTGTCATGAATATATTAGGTCAATTTTCAGGAAGCAGCAATTTAACAGAGAAATAGGTTGTCAGTAATTACAAAAGTAATAGATGACACAGTAAGACCAAACCAAATTATGCCACTATAAACACATGGTGCAGCTGTGCTGTTACGGTTTCCTTGACTCAAACAAACTACAACAGAAAGGCACCGAAAGGGGAAACAGGAACTACAAGAACTTGGGGAACCATATTTATACAACAATTGCACTGGGATTCTTACCCCAGGTGGGAAGGAAGGAAGGATGGCAGGGGAGGAACACAAGAGATCTGTAAAATGAAGACTGGCAGTCAAGAAGGTAAGAAATGATGGCTCATCTCTCTAACACAGGTTCTAACAAGCATCAAGTTCTCAGGCAGCCAGTCTGAAACTGGAGTTTTGCCTGATTAAGCATTACTACAGAACACAGCAGAAGGTCTGTCTATGGGTTCAAAAACTAACCAGATAAAGCTGTGGGAAAACAAAGTGATAGGGGAGACACTGAAGACACCACCTGCCTCACCTGGTCCTAAAGTGCCAGATCACTGACAGCAAGGGGCTCTTTCTGCAGGAGTTAACACATGTGCTTGTCCTGTCCATACTTTCTTCTTTGTCGTCTGCAAACATATGAGATACCAGTCTTGGGTCTGGCTTATGGAGTCATTCTCAGATTACGCTAGATGCCAAATCCAGCGAGTCAACAGAGCATGACTTGGGAAACTGCTAGTTCTTTAAGTTTTGTTTAAATAAGCCACTCTCTTGCTCACCAGTGTGCTTTTTTTAATCAAAACTCCAGACTACCCACACTCCCAATCACTTTCAATAAAGTTTTGTATTACTGCTTCACCAACAAAAACAGATAATTATCCAAATCTTTTTATAAGACTTAAAGAGATGGCTACCAACTGAAGAGAACTCATACTATAAATCCCTCTTTAAAAAAGTCATATAAAATAAAGATCGTTTTCTGCCTTTATTGAGGCTAACATTTCAGTGTTTGTTAAGCTCCGATAAAAGCTGATCGTGCACAACAGCGACATGCACATTCAGCGTAATGCACTCTGTGACTCTGGAGTCACCCAGAAGATAAATCTCAGCTGAAGGCACTACTGCTCAGCTTCTCTAAAAAAGCATTTCTGGAATACACAGCTTGAGGCGTCTCTTGGTATTAGACACATTCAGTGACTATCCTCAAATAGCTCATACTTGAAGAAAGCTTTCCAATCTTTAATAAAAGTTGCTGTGATTTTAACTTTCATACATCACTAAAATAAAAACAGAGCAAAACTCTGAAGCCTAACATTGTTCATAGCTACAAACAGTAAAACTTCAAAGCCTAACACTGTTCGTAGCTACAAATGGAGGCTATTCAGAAACCAATATTCTGCATAACACAATATACTTCCCAGTTCTCTCACACTTCACAAATACAAAACTAACCAGCCAAAGATAATCCTCGATCACAAAACATTTAAATTCTGTAGCACTCTACTGCAATTGTTCTACAGCATTCTGAAATATGCTTCAAATTAATTTAGTAACTTGCCATAACGTATATGTCATATTCCTCAGCTTACAAATTTTGCCGATTTCTTAACTTTTAAATACAAAAGTAAACATGTACAGAAGAGGAAGCTTAACATTTTGACAGACAGCTGGGGATGTCGGAATGATGCAAAATATTTCACACAGATTTTGGAAAAGGACATGAAGCTAGAAACTTCTGTTAAAAATAGCTAACGATATAACACCAATGTTAAATCCCCAGTAGCACTATCTCTTTTCAAGGACAGTGGCAAAATGAGTTTGCTCGTTACTTCCCAGAATAACTGTTTCATACTCAGGCACATGTAGATCCATTAATTTGTAATTAATTTGAGTAAACAGTTCACAGAAGAGCAACAGTTAGTGCCTTTTTTTTTATTCCATAAGAAGGCTACACTACTAAAACCTACAGTCCACTTATCTAACAGCAGTGGACCCACACAGTCCTCTGAAATCACTGGCTTCAGCAGACATAAGGCTCTAAATGAAAATTTTACTTGCAGAAAACTATAATCTGTGACATAAGTTAAAGGTAACACTTATGTTCCAATGTACTTTTTAGATTACTGTCTTGGGGAACGATAAGCACGTGCATCGTACAGGAGTGGTAAGCAATTATACAGTATGAAAATAATTACTGTAAAGATATTCCTGGAGCCTTCTAAGAAAAAAAAAAACCCAACCACCATGTAGAAACCAGTGACTGCATAGCAAATGAGTATTTAGAAGCCGATATTAAGTTATTTAAATTCCAACAACAGCAATGAGATTTGTACCAATATATAATAATTAGCTCAGAAACCTTTCAACATGTTCCACTTCAGCTGCTAAGGCAAGCAGGAAGGAGTGTCTTTTATTTCTGGTCTTAAGAAAAAGAAAGTTGTATTCACTTACCAGTTCCTATATAGCATTTAAAGCGTCCTGATAGTCTGTCAACAAAGGCACCTAAAACTTCTAATCCCAGTAATGCTACCTGTTGAAACAAAAGCATTAGATATACAAAACAGATCACTGAAGAATTCTTTAGAATAAATTTTAAAGAAATTAGTCATATATATGTATATGCAAGCATTCTGAAAGACTGTATCTTAACCTAAAGATTAATCTAAGTTCCAATCAGAGAGCTGATAATTCCTTGAAAGCTTTCGCTAAGACAAAATCATCAGAATACATTTGGAATGAATCAAGTATATTTATATATACCAGAGCAGCTGAATTTTTCAATACTTAAAACAGTGTGAAAATAAAAGAAGTCCAATGTTTTAGTATTTTCAACTACAAATTCTTAAAATTCAAATTAATAATTACAAGGATTAAGGAGTTACGAGAAGCTCTTTCTCACATGCCCCCCATCCTATATTAGGACTGTAGTTCTGTCTCTCAGCTTCTTTAAAAGATGACTCTAGAGGTCTAACTCAGTATTAAACAAAAACGCAAATTCCTTTGAAACAGGTATCAGTAAGGCTTTAGGCCTTACCTCCTCTACCAAGTTTCTAAGCTGCTTAAAGAAACAAAAACAGAATGCCTTCAACAACAACAAAACCAAACCGAATAAAAGAGGGAGGGGAAGATACACAGTTACCAGACAGACAAAACAAACAACTTAAAATGCAAAACTTACTAAGGCTCCCCAAACATAAGCACTAATACAG